CCTTCTTACGATGGTCAGCCAGAAGGCGTGTTTGTAGGACAATTTCACAATGAGGACACGGAAGTTCATGCTTGATCAGAAGTTGAAAGAGTGGGCCTCTATCATTGGCTTCAAGGGTCGATGAACCACTTGCCTCGTGAACAACAGTCGGAGTTCATAGCAGATGTTATGCGACAGATCTTCATTTTCTTGTGTTGGTACTGATCAACAACATTGCTTCTCAGAGACCTCGAAGCTAAAGGAGGGGGTGATGTTAGGGACATAATCCTTAGAACCTTCTAGAGACAAGTTTCTAGAACCTTCTAGAAGTAAGTCTCTGGAACCTTCTAGAAGCTTCTTAGTTAGTAGAAGATATTAGGGACATAGTCCTTAGAACCTTCTAGAGATAAGTTTTTAGAACCTTCTAGAAGCAAATCTCTGGAACCTTCTAGAAGCTTCCTAGTTGGTAGAAGTTGCTTGAGAAGCTTCCTAAATAGAAGTATATATTAGAATCGAGGCTGAAGAGTTCTTCAGTCTCAACAACACATCTCTTGGAGCTCTAGCTCACCTCTTTAGTGTTGTTTTCATCTGATTAATCTAATTCTTGCCAGTTCTTCTTGAACTTCTTGTTAGATCTCGAGTCTGTATCCGCTCACCTTTCTGTGTCCGTGACAACACATTGAAAAATTGAAAGTGCATTCATTCAACACTTTGTGACATAGTCTTCACCTCATCTACAAATATAACCCCACTTTCCATATTGTTACTCCAACTCTATAGTAATTAAGACTTACAAATTAATCATCAAAGACAGACATATGTATATATATATACTTACCTACTCATTGATCATAAAAGTATATTCATATATGTATATATATATATATATATATATAGTGAGAGAGAGAGAGAGAGAGAGAGAGAAATGCGATGTCACAATGGGAAGAGAAGAGAAGGCAGTTCAGAGTGGAGTGAAGCACATGCTTTGTTACAAACCTCACAATCTTGTAAACTACCCAGTTGCCAAGAGTCACAGACATCGCATTCCAGGCTTCCGCATTCAACGCACACATCACTCAGCTGCAATAATACAACAGCAGCAATAATACAACACAATACGGTCCAACGCAACGAAACTCATGCTATGCTGCAGCTGCTGTCGAGACAGATCGACAATGAATACATCTAGACACACACACACTCACTCACTCACTCACACTCTCTCTCTCCCCCCACTGTACTACAGCAGTTGTGAAGAGAGGGAGGGAGGGCGGGACCCACATCGGGAGATGGGGTCCACGCAGTCGGTTTCTCCTCCTTGCACCCAAGTCCGCCCACGTGCACATTCCGTCACGGTGTGTGCAGTGTGTGTGTGTGTGTTGGGGCAGGGGTGCCGGCTCCGCCCACCCGACATCGGGGAATCCGCCCTGCTTATTTGCTTCACAGTTCAGCTTTAGATTGGATGGCCCCGATCTTGTGAGATCCCGGATACGATCCCGATGGGCCCGCCGATGGTCCCCCACTTGTCGATCGTTGGTGATGGCTTTACCGACACCGCTGTCGACATCCCGGTCCCAGTTGGTGAGATGAGGGCAATTCGTGGAGGGCAGCTTCATTTTGTCCATTCAATTTTTGGTTCTCACAAAAATACAGTTCTTTAGTTGCAGCATTGCCGACTGCAAACCTTTGTGTGGTAACTTGTGTGATGCAACGAATAATCATGTCACTGACATTGAGTAATGCTACAACGATGCTGATGTGTGCGATGCTGATGTGTGTCGACCTGGATCCTTTGTGGATTAGCTGAGCGTGCTGATGGGCCATTCAGAATTTGGATGGTGAGATCGTCACGTCGTTGAGGAAGATGTTTGTGGTTTTCACTGCCGGAGCGAAACTTGAATTCTTACCTTGCATCGAGGGAGACCAGGAGCACTATTCACGCCTGTTGAATTCGGTTCATGGACAAAGGGGGTACGTTCGCTCCATTCATTTGAATGTTAATATTCTCGCTGGACCGTGGGTTAAGTATGCACATCGAAATACTTCAGTTTCGATGTACAAACTTTCGTCCATGTGAGTTACCGGAAGGGGTCCGGTTTATCCCAAAATCCAAAAGTCAAATAATACGGTTTTGACAAAATAATTGGTTTTTTTTCAAAATTCGAACGCTGGTTTATTTCTCACATTTTCAAACCAACGTTCAAAAAGTCAATCTCGTTGTATACAAAAGTAGATTCAAGTATTTAGGTAACATATCTAAATAGTTCACATAATTGTTCATATGACTGTTCATATAACTGTTCAGAGCACATCGAGCACACTCGTCGTAAGATTTCAAAAACATCCATTGACCCCATCTTTCGACCAGTCAGCAAAAGCGTACACAAGTCAAATTACAGTCACCAAGTGGAGGTTGATTTAAAGGAACTTACAAGGAAGCATGTAGTCTGCTCCATAAACACGCGCATCAGAATCACGGCCTACAGTGTTACGGTTTCCAATTCAAGCCGTTTGTCGATCACTGTAGTAATCGAATATTGTATAACTACCACCTGCAGTATTTTTCTTTTTACTGAAACTTTGAGGAATGGCGTGGTGAATATGCATTTGTCGCAGAAATTCTCACTCATCTATTAACTTGCGATGAAAGTTAGAACTTTCACGGATTCTCCTCAATCCTCAGATGCTCCCAATAATTGTTCGAGCAAACACTATGCAGGATGTTTCCACTGGCAAGTGTCAATGGGTCTCTTGATAATTGAGCTCTGTTGACAATCTGCATCCACCTCTCAATAACCGCCCACTCTTTTTGATACAGTTTCGACTTCCTTTAGAGGGCCCACGTCTCAAGCGGAGGTTCTGATATACTATAGTGCATGACGAGAGTAAAATTCAGACTTGCGCTGATCTGGACACAGCGGGGATGTACAAGGAGCACAAATCAATATGGTATCCCAATAATGTCAGCATGGTCCATGAAGTCGTCACCATCGGTACAGAAGTGAAGTATATTCTGCAGTTGTTGGGGTAAACCGAAACCACTAATCTCGTTTGATCAATTGCGGTAACGAGTGGCCAATTCAATTTGCTCGGCAGAAGCCCTATAACACGGACAAGTCCTTCGGTCCTTGCCGCAGCGGCTAATCCAACATAGATTGGCTTAATAAACAGTTCTATCATGGAGGCATTACTCATGTTTCCCAGTCACTGAAACCTGCAAAACTTACAGTTGATCAAATTCATATGGAAAAACGTGGTTCTGTATTGTTGTTCCATGACTCAGCTGATTTCATTTGTGAACTCAGTGGGAGTGTGGAGGCGAACATGCAACGTCATGAAACTCTTCATGCTTGATACCATTGCTCTCAAGCTTGACAACTTGAACATGAGCTCAAGACACCTTGAAGTGAAGATGGTGAAAGTTTTTCTCCATGGTTTTAAGTGCGTGATGTTGTAAGATGAGAATTAGGGTTGAGGTCATTAGTGAGCGTGTGGGATTTTTCGTTTGAAGTCAGGAGTTTGCAACTTAGTAATAACACTTTGGAAGAATCTCAACCCTGTTCTTTCCCTTTGCCATGTGCCACTATGAAATTTTCCACCAAAACCATGATGAAATAGGTTCCAAAGTGTAAGCACTTTTTTCTCTGTAGTGAACCCAACGTGGTTTAGGCTACACAATGGTTTTGAAAGTCAGAGTTTAGTATAATCGTTTATGCATTTAAAGTTAAAAGAACTAAAGTTTGACTTCTCCGTACAAGGTTGTGGAGCCGTGTCAAACCTCGCATTAAAATATCATTTCAAACATTTGACTTTGACTTATAGCTGTTGACCTCAAACCTAGGTAACAGAGTCAATGATTAATCACCTCAGCTTTGCCTTGGCACAAGGGGAGCTGAGTTCCTGCACCGATGGACTATGGACCCACCGCCTTTTAATAGTCATCTCACGCTTACCACAGCAAATAGTTGATTCATATTATTTACGATATTATTACTTGAATGAGTATATCACATTTATGGTGCTTCCTACCAAAGCTTTAGCTGAATACCAACTACCCTTGTTTTGTGGAAACCTACAATTTCAGTGTTAACGGCATGCATTTTGTTTAACCTTGGTAACATATCGATGACAGGGTAACATGTAGAATTTGGAAAGTAGACTACTGTGTGTTTGTACACACGTTGTACTCCGAATGAGTATGTTTATAACCATTTTTATTTTTATTATTTTACCTTCATTTTAGAGAACACCAAAAGTGATTGCAATAATAGTTGATGCATCATGTGCTGAACGTGGAGGAAAAAACGGTAATGAAAAAGCAGTATAATTTCATATTAAGATAACTATTAGACGCACATATGCATGTATGCATGTATGCATATATGTGTGTACATATATATAAATCTAACAAACATGTAAGTCTGAATGTATATTAGAAATGATTTTATGTATGATTTCTCATTTTGTACACAACAAGCATGACTACAAATAACGGCAATGAACTTACGTCCCCATCACATCTACTCAACCAAACAGAATCACGACAGAACATTTACAAACAGTAAAATAATATAAATAAAGAAAGAAAGACAGATAGAAAAGCAAGGGCATGCTTGCAAGATTCATTATTAAAAAAAGTCAACAGATAATGGGACCAAGTCAACGTCGAGCATGCTGAGGAAGCGAACACCAGAGGATAAGACCGTGTTAAGGAGCACACAAAAGCAATCCAAAGTGAGCAGGATGCGAAGCAATAATCCTGCATTAGCGAAGGGACGGAGAAACCCATAGATCCACGGCGCACCTGCAGTCACTGTACTCGCAGGGCGGCCACGCTGCTGCAGGTCGCGGCTGCGGAACAAGGAAAACGAGAGGCAGGCCCGCAAATCGGATTGCACAATTTCGGGGAAATCATGAACGCAAACAGACTGGAACTGGTAAAGAAAGTTTGCCCCCACCCCAGCTCCCGACGCTTATCATCATTGCCATATTCGGTGCCCAGTCTGAGCCACTGGGCAAGGGGGTTGGGTCGATCGGGTGCCGCAAATTCAATCCGCTATGGGGGTGTGTTCCACACATCTAGCGTAGCATCCGTCGTTCCGGCGATGGGGATGGCAATTCAACGCATATGAACCGTGGCCCCGCCTTGTGGCGCGTCACAGGGCCGTGATACCGTCTCCGGAAAGTCACCCCATTGACCTGCGAGAGATCTAGATGCCGTGCCCTCCCGCTGCGCCGGCATCGAGGTACTGCACAGTTCTTTAAGTACAATGCATCGATGGCTGTGCGGTGCAGGGTGCCGAGTATTTATGCCTTCGCGATCGTTGTGTACTTTAGTTCCATTTCGAGTGCTTTCCCCTCAGTCATTATCCCCATACGATACGGTGGGATCGCCAGTACGCGTAGGGTGCGAGGTCGAGCTTCCGGATTTGGCCGACATGTTGTAACTTGTACTTGACTACCCAGACTTCGTGTGGTTTTCGACTCGTTGCCTAGACTTCGTTGTGCTTCAGGTTCTTCGTGACTGCGGACCTGTGAATTACTAGCGCTGGGCAGAAGGCGGTGTGAATGGCTGGAAAGAGTGGACAATTGTAGATGCAAGGAAGCTTGTAAGCTTGTTCAGCACTGTGCTGCATCATCCTCTGCGACAGCGGAATCAACGAGATTTTTGATCGATTGTATAGTTACTCTTGGAGCTTGTGAGCACGAACACTTGTGCTGATTGCGAAAGGAAAATTAGTAGGGGAGGATGTCAATTTATCAAGGAGGTTTGGTGGCTGCCTTGTTGGCCGTGGCCATCTCATTGACGTGCTTAAGCAGCCATGCAGAGGCTCAAGGGCTTGCCGTCGGCTATTACACTAACTCCTGTCCCACGGTAGAAACCATAATTTATAATTCAATGTGGGATTCGTACACTCGGGACCCTACAACCGCTCCTGGCGTTTTGCGCCTCGCATTTCATGACTGCTTCGTTCGTGTGAGTTCCAACTCCATTGTTGTGTCTTTGTCTGTAAATTATGTCCTCCCATCAAATATGAAGTATGCATTAACTTCATCAACTGAACATGTTACGACACTCTAGGATTGTACGTCATGATCCTACGTGACCAGCATCCCAAATTGGAAATTTTGTCGGTATAGAGTGTGGACATGTACTGGCTCATGTTGTGATTGACGAGCAACCTAAATTGCGTTCCAGGGCTGTGATGCTTCGGTGTTGCTAGACGGAGTAGATTCGGAGAAAGCGGCGGCAGTCAATGTGAACCTGCATGGATTTGACGCTATAGATGCGGCTAAAACAGCGGTGGAGGATGCATGCCCAGGAACTGTTTCCTGCGCCGATATCTTGCAGTACGCAGCTCGTGATAGTGTCTTGCTGGTAAGTTGGTACTGATTTCTCCTCTGCATACGGTAGTCACTTCAAGAAATTCTTTATTCAATACCTGAAAGAGGGAGCTAGGACTACGCAGTGGTAAGACGCTCTGTCGTCACGACACCAACTGTGCTCAGCATTGAGTAAAGATAGCAGCAAGACTGGTTGAATTTACCAGTTGACCTGTGACTTGGCTGTTCAACATTGCAAGAGAATTCAAATCTTGGTGAGAAAGAATCACAAGGAAGTCGAATTGTGAGCTTAATATATGCTTTACAGTGGTTAATGAAAATCAAGATTGTTGATGGCGTTACTGATGGGTTTACAATTTTGTCATGGCTATCGCAGACCGGAGGTGAGGGCTGGGATGTGTCTGGTGGGAGGAGGGATGGATTTACATCAAGTTCTGCAGATCCCCCTCTAGAGCTGCCTCTCCAAACCATGACAGTGCCCGAGCTTCTTGCTAATTTCGCGGCCAAGAACTTGAACGCTGCACACATGGTCGCCCTGTCGGGCAGTCACTCAATCGGTGTTGCTCACTGCCAATTCATCGTTGATCGTCTATACAATTATCCCAACAGTGCAACAGGATCCGACCCTTCCCTTCCAGCCGACCTCTTAGAATTCCTTAAGACACAGTGTCCTGACTCCGCCGCAACTCCCGAAATCAACATTGACGAGGTCTCCCCAGGCACCTTTGACTCCCAATACTTCGATAACATCATCAGGAACAGGGGGGTGATAGCATCCGATCAGCACCTGATGGACCACACCTCCACCCAGGGCGAAGTGGCGGCCAACAATGGACCCGCTTTCGGCGGCAATTTTGGTAGGGCAATGGTGGTTATGGCTCGGTTCAATGTTTTAACTGGATCTGCCGGTCAGATTCGTACCAATTGCCGACAAGTTAATTAGATCGACCACAGATTAGCATCACGTCAGTTGCCTGAACACTGGAACATCCCAGGCAATGCAGGCATGTTGGAACAATCAGTATATAAAACTGTATAAACAGCTAGAAAGTGTACCATGATTGTTGGAGGCTCAGCATGAGCGTCATTCTTGTCGTTCAAAATAAAAGTGGAGTGAATTGTCTCAAACAGACAAGGTTTTCAGTACGCTGGACATAACTCAATCGCATTGATCGGGAATCTAGGCTCAATGGCTGAAAGTTGGGCGATACCTGCTAGATGTCCATCACATTCACATATTTGTCTAAGAAATTTCACTCCTGAAAGCAATATAGCTTTCAGCACGGTCTTCATCACTTTGAGGTGAAGCAAGGTTTCCAGGGAAAATGGAGTTGCACAAAAGCGCTAAAGAGGCAATTTATGATGAAGTCGTATTCTTACATCTCCGGAGGAGAAAGCAAGCCTGAAGCAACACAACATAACATACTGGAACAATCGGACATACAATCTATCAGTGCAACCCAACATAACATACTGGATCACCTACTCTCAGACGCGGATATTATTTAAACCTTGATCCTAGAAATGTGTTCACAAACCTAGGAGAAATGACTTGATAAAATTCAAACATTATGAATGAACAATCATCTCTAAACAGATTCAAAATATTTCATTCATTTAGCATTGCTACAAGGTTATATAAATTAAGTTCACACATACGGACTATGCAACTCTACTGGAACTAAAAGCACAAACCTGGCCAATGAGCGGGATATCAAGGTGAGCAAACTGGCTAACAACTTCCACGTCTGCCTGAGCTTCCTCAAGAGTCTCACGAGCTGCACCTTCAGCAGCTGACTCCCCAAGCTCCATGTACCCTGCTGGCAATGTCCTGATAACCGCTGTGCAGTCAGCACTTAATGCAAGCACAGGCACAAATCATTCCTTGAAATTAGTTATCCTTCTGTTTCACGAAGTATTGTCGAATTACGGAGGAAGTCAACAAAATTCTACGAATGGAATATTAAGTCCTCTTCCCAATTCTGTAGAATCTTACTGCTGATCAGTTCCTCAGTCCGTCTTGCAATTGTTCTATGGCTATACGGGATCTCACCAAAGACCCTGCGAAGGCTCAATGCTCCTTCTGCAAAGTAGCACCTAGTTCTCATGCTCCACAAGACAACCCACCACCTGATGCAAATATAACGGCACGAAATGTCAGCGATCGACAGAAGAGATCAAAATCTTCTCCATGGAACCTCTCCAAGTTCACTAATGAGTAAATGCAGAGCAAGTCTTTCACAATAAGAGATGGTCACATACATACCATCTTAGGATTCTGATAATATATTACACCACACATGGAACAAACAAACCGCATTTCATGCTCACCCTCTGGTATCCGTTGCTCCATCGCCCCTCCACACTTCGGGCAGAAGTTTATCAATGGTCTAATTACCTGCAGGAACTACTGGTTAGATCCTATCTGAGAATTAGAGAGATAAAGCCCGCAAAGCACCTACTGCACGTAACCATCCAATATGAATACTTCTAAAAACCAGCATGTAAACCTTTGGAGCATGTAGAAAATAGAGAAAAACCTCACAAACCTGAGGTCTTGCTTTCACATTGTCAGAACTAGACGTATCCACGGCACTGAGGTTCTCAGAAATCACCACCGGAACGTCCCCAGTCTTCGACATTCTGCCTGCGACAACGTCCAAGCCGCTTTTGCTTGAGTTGCTTATCGCACGATCCCTTGCAAACCTCCTGTCGAGATTTCGAGACCTCCAAGACGAACCAAACCCACCAACAACTTCACGGCCGTGTACCTGAACCCTGATATAATAACTTTTCCCACCCCTCCTGAAGAAAGTCCCACAGGTGCCAGCAACAAGCACCAATGCGTCGTGGACAACGACACAGTAGGAAAGCAATGCGCCGCGATGCAGACGATCGACGTACACCTGGTAGGAAGCAATTATCGTGTTAAACAGCCCACAACTTAATACAAAACCCAAACCTCATCAATCCTTCCTTGTCAATCTCATCAGATTTCCTCGTCCCAAGTCCCGAGAAGTCATTAGAGCGCACCCAACACAGCGCCTGCCTTTTCCTAACAACAAAGAAAGCCTGCAACAGTAAAGAGTCCAATCCTCGACCAAACTGCTCATTGAAGAGTCGCTGTAATATTTACCTTGCCATAGCCACTCCCTCCTCCTTTACTTTCCTTTCCATTTCTTTGCGGCACGGCTTCTTTCCGCAGTTTTCTTTCCTTCGTCGTCTCTCTCGCGGCCTTGTCTCATTGCTTCCAACCACGTGGGGATCAACGTGTCAGCCTCTTGGGTGCATTGGGATTCAGCAGATGAGGGGGAGGGGACTCAACACGCCCTTTGTTGAATCAGTGGTGAGATTGTTCTTGCGGTGTAGCCCGTTGTGAATTGGATCGGAAGTTAGCAAGTGAAGCAGTGGCGAGCTTTAATCTTAACAGGGTTGTATTAATCAAGTATGTTACTCAAATTTCTAGCTCCTGTTTTCTATCACGGCTCTGTATTGCGTCTGCGTGAGATCTCTGGTGCAATTTCCTGGTGAACAATTTTGAAAGTATGTCTTTGGTCGATTGAATGTCGTGGAAATCATTCGAACTTTGTGTTTTAGAAAGTGATGAGAGATTGGAGCTTAGGGTTAATAGTGGCTCTTTCTGTCATCAGTATCCCCAATTCGATCTAGTATTGTGACTTTGTGCAGTTTTGTGAGGTTTGTCTCAGATTGTCGCGAGGGTTGGTGGTATTGCTGAAGCAAAGTGCAACATAGCCGTGAAAGGTCGTCTCGGTTACTGGTTGTAAGGTATAGAGTTAGATTCTTTGCGTTCCTGACCATCATAGGTAGGAAAAATCGTTGCAAATCTTTTACTATCAATCATGTTAACATCTCGTTGTGAGAAAATGAAGTCGTCAAGCTGACTGGCCAAGATATCGCGCCGGAGCCGTGATCACGGTAGGGTCGTAGTTGTAATTCAATGTTAGCCGGTTATGATTGTCGTCGAATCTTTTCTGTTCAGCCCTTGAGGGCACAAATATGTGTCCTATTGCACCCGTGAGTTTCCTGAGGCTTAATTTCATTAGCTCCTTTGAAGACACGAGTTGGTTGTTGATGAGCAGGTAAGTGGGAAGCATGTGTCTACCATGGCTATTTGGTGGCGGGGACTCAGGCCCTGAACATTCGGCTCCTGCTGGACCAGCAAGTCATGGACCAGCTAACGCATCACATGGCAATCCACCGCCACCTCCATCCCGGCCTCACCACTCACACAACTAGACTTTGGCAGACGCCATGAGGTCGGTCAAAATCCTTTCCGCAAAGATATGCTTTCACATGTCTGCCTCTCGTACTTTTAAGTGCTTCCTTGTTGTATGCACAGGACTATGAGATGCCGCGTAGTGTAGATAAATGTTTTTCGTTTGAGGAACGCTTGTGGAATCTTAAGAATTTAGCACGTGTTGTGCTTAATATGTTCATTTAGGACTTGTAAGGGGCTTATCAGTTATTTCTTCTTAATTTATGTCGGAAATGTTTTTTCCACTGGAAGATGCAAAGAATTTTTGTATTGTCAAGTCATGTGGTTTGCTTGTGTCCAGAGTTATCCACAGCTCAGCGAATTTTTGAAGTGCTCTGGGTTTTTGGCACATTTCTCCAGGGATACCTACGCGAGAGTTGGAAACTCGAGACGTGCTGCTTCCAATCGCAGCTATAGACATTGTTCCATAGACCTGCTTGTAAAGAAGTAGCACTTGGTCCTTGTTTGGTATTGTGAAGGAGGTATTCCTGTTACTTCATATGTGTTCATAAAAACCACACATCTCAAGTATGTGCGATTCGGAGGCCTCCTCGACTCGTTTTCTTGATATTTTTTGTAATTTGTTTGTTTGTTTTGTTTTGTTTTTTATTTTTATTTACTTTCGTGTGGTACATTAAGCTGGACCTTGATGCCTGGCTCGCTAAAGTATAATTTCAGCTAGAAAAATGGACTTGCCGTTATTGTACGCAGATGAGACTTTGCAAGTTAAAAACCTTAAGTATATCTTTGACACCTTGCAAACTAAAGGTTTTTCAACTAACCTTAACGTTACTAACTCAACCTCCAACATTAATATGTAATTTTTCCTTGTTAATTAAAGTCTAAATATCTTAAATTGTGTCACCCCTTGAACATAAATTTGATATATGCAAAATAAAATAAAATAAAGCAAATGCAGATTATTAAAACATGAACGTTATAGCTATTAGAATTATTTTGGTGATTGAGGTGTGTGACTAAGAAATAGTTGAGAAAAATTGAAAGTAAATACATAAAACTATGGGTTGTGTGATGTTTCAAGTATTGCCTATATATTATCTTTGTACTACCTCTCTTGCATTTACAAACTGTAATAAAAAGTGATATAATATAAACAAAAAGACGTAGAAAGAAACTGGAGGACAATTTTAATTCTATCAAGTGATAGATATAATCTATACATATCACAAAAAAGAAAAAAGAAAAAAATCAAACAAAGTAGCACAAAATTTGTGAAAACTTATCTACACAAGTTTTTATTTTTATTTTTATTTTTATTTATTTTTTATTACTTCTATGTAGATGAAACAGACCATGCCAATCAAATAATTATATGTATTATTTCTAGACTTTGATAATCCATTACACTGGAATTGCTATTTTCTCCTACTAAGTATTCACGTAGAATCCTTGAAGCCATGCATTGTGGGCACGAATTTTACCCTTCATTAGTGGAGCAAGGTGGTTCTATCCTTGATGTCACCCCCTTCCCAAGGGACGCATTCTCAGCCACACGTTCTAACTGAGGATTCACGAAAAAACGCCGACGGAGTAGCCCCGTTTTATTGACGTCGTCCGACGACCGCTGCCCTCCTGGGACTTTATCGTTCGTTCATTTGTTCGTTCGTCCAAGTCCATCCGTCGACATTATCTTCTTATCAACTCGACTTCCCCCACCAATGTTTTAGGGTTTAAGGGCCTTATGCCACCTCCATCCGAATTTAGCCTCTGTTTCCAAGCAGACGGTCTTTTCTCCCATTTCCTCACTTTTCCCTTCGATCTCTGGACTTAATGAGGGTTGAATTCTAGCCTGCACTAGCGCCTCGCACTAAAATTTCAGTCTCCCAGCCGGTGAGTGCATGCTGAATAATGGTGTAACACGCTAATGGGGGGTGGATTTTAGCGGCCCTGTTGTTGATGGCAGGCCTTAGTTGCTATTTCGGATTTGTGGTTTGTCTGGGCTGGTTTCTGATTTAGGTTGGATTTCGGATTTTATTTGGGTGTTGGGATGCAACTTGGCGATCATCGATCAAATCGTGGGATTGAACTTCGGTTTGAGTGCGAAGATGGGATTCTGGGCAACATTGTCAGCTGGTGAGGAATTGAATTGGGTGTGTGTGTGTGTGTGCATGTGAGTGGTATTGTAAGCAGGAGGGGGAGGTGAGGTGAAAGATGAAGCTCTTGCGGCTGAACAAAGCGCCAGCCGCTATCGTGTCGGAGCTTACGACGATGGCGCCTATGAAATACAAGATCTGTTATTTTTTGAATTGGAATGATGTGGGATATAACGTGGTCGCATCCAAGAGAGTGTTTTCTACGCTGCGGAGAGTGAGCCAAGATTACCAGGGGTTGTTGTTGCCGAGGCATGGAAACAGACTCACGACGTCTCGTTCTTTGCCGTCTTCTTCGTTTCAATCGTCCCAATTCTCAACGTCTCATTTGCCGGCCCAGAAAGGTAAAAAGAAGCTGGCGGTTCCAAGAGCTGCAGGAACAAGTTTACAAGATCTCTTCAAGCAAGACTTACAGTCGTCCTCACCGTTCAATGTTGACCCATCGTATGTAGCTTTTTCCCTCCAAATTTTCTCAGAGATTCACACCTCTATTTGGACATTGATTCTGCTGGAATTTTGAAACTCGACCGTCCGTGGATTAATTACAGTGTTGCGTTTCTGGTAGATTGTATAATTTTTCCCGAGAACGGTATCACATTCGAACTGGGGACCGTGATTCTGTAGGAATGTATGTTCTGGAGGACAGAAATGTGCTATTCGTATCCATGTTTTGGATGCTGTATTCTGAAAGAGTTGGGAATGTGGGATCCAGGGCGACAGTTGTGCCTTACCTGGAGGACTCATCCCGAAGGGTGGACGGTGGGAAGTTGTACGTGGAGACTTATGGGTGCCAGATGAACGTGAATGATATGGAAATAGTGCTCGCTATTATGAAAGACTCAGGATATACAGAGATTGTTCAAACACCTGAAGAGTCGGACATTATCTTTATCAATACGTGTGCAATCAGAGAGAACGCCGAACATAAAATCTGGCACCGGCTCAATTACTTCAAGCACTTGAAATCCCGGTGTGTGAATTAATTGGTTTCTAGAGCTTTACTTTGCTTCTTTTTAGTTGCGACGGTGAACTTTGTAACATCCTTATGATTGTATCAACACCTAATTCTACTTTTATGAAATTCTGTTATTCAGGTGGAATCGTGATCCTGCTACAAGTGCTACCCGTCCAGCCAAGCCTCCCAAGGTTGCAGTGCTGGGCTGCATGGCTGAACGTTTGAAGGAGAAACTGATCGTTGCTGACAAAATGGTGGACGTAGTTTGTGGGCCTGACGCTTACAGGTGAGTGTAGTTTGTTGATTGTGAGTTTTAGCTAAGATTTGACTATTCCTTTCCTTTCGTTGGGAATGTTGGCGGAACGTCATCCTGTGGCTGTCTTGCTAAGACCGCTGACGCGATGGTTGCTCACAGGGATCTTCCTCGCCTTCTCTCTCTTGTCGATGAAGGTCAAACTGGTATCAACACTCTGTTGTCTCTCGAAGAAACGTACGCAGACGTCTCACCGGTGCGAATTGCAAAGAATTCTGTGACTGCTTTCGTATCAGTCATGCGCGGCTGCAACAATATGTGCTCATTCTGCATCGTACCTTTCACACGAGGCAGGGAGCGTTCACGTCCTGTTAGTTCAATTGCACGGGAGGTAAGTTTGACGGTTTTTTTAACATTTATTCGTTTCCTATAGTGAAGGTTTGTTATTGTGGTCATTTCTTATGCTAAGATTTTTTTTTTTTTTTTTTTTTTTTTTTTTTTCCTTTTTCTTTTTCAATTGAGTTCAGGTAGGCGAGCTCTGGGAGCAGGGTGTAAAGGAAGTGATATTGCTTGGTCAAAATGTTAATAGTTACAACGACACTAGCGAAATAGATGGAGGAGATGAAAATGGTAGCTTGTTATCGCTTAGCACTTTAGGAGTAGAAGAGGGGAAAGAAAGCCAGCTCCCTCCCATTATGGAGTCCAGCTTCGGAGACAAGAAAGCCAAGTACATGTCAACTCTGAGCCCTGGGTTTTCTACCATTTACAAAACCAAGGAACTTGGATTGAGTTTCGCACACCTTCTTGACGTCCTGTCATCTCAATATCCAGAAATGAGATTTCGGTTCACATCCCCACATCCCAAGGACTTTCCTGATGATTTACTGTTTCTGATGCGGGATCGACCCAACATCTGTAACATGGTTCACCTTCCAGCACAAAGTGGAAGCACCAGAGTGTTGGAGAGAATGAGACGTGGATATACAAGAGAAGCCTATTTGGCTTGCGTTGACAGGATACGGATGATCATTCCTGATGTGAGCATAAGCAGCGACTTCATTTCTGGTTAGTCCTCCCCAGCCTCCAACCCTTTAACACATTGCAAGAATAACCAGCATTTTGCTATGTTTGTGTCTTGTTTTTCATGTCACTATCGGAACTTATGTAACGTTCTAATGTATACCCGTTTTTCCTTTTCATAACATTACGTAAATTTATTTACCTGAAGCTAGAATAACTATTTTAATTTGTAGTGACTTCAGTGTAATACAAATTTAAGGAGTAATTTGATACAACTAGCTTCTTATTCCCAACAGTATCTACTTAGTCATAGGTTCCGTATATGTTTCATAGTTGTCGACTTGTATGCTTAAACTGTGCAGGCTTCTGCGGGGAGACTGAGGAAGATCATCAGGATACTCTTAAATTGGTAGCTGAAGTGGGTTACGACATGGCCTATATGTTCGCTTACAGTATGAGAGAAAAGACTCACGCTCACCGGAATTATGAGGATGATGTACCTGAGCCTGTCAAGAACAGACGACTTGCAGAAATGATAACCACTTTTCGGGAAACAACTCTGCCAAGGTTCACATCCCAGTTACAGACAATGCAGCTAGTGCTCGTAGAAGGTCCTAACAAGCGAGCTCCAGAAACTGAACTGGTTGGGAAGAGTGACAAGGGGCATAGAGTCATTTTTCCTAAAGTGCCTGTCATGGATGGACTCTCTGCAGCCGAGGTCTCTGAAGAGGGCTGTAATCCGTTCGACAGGAAAGCTTGCCAGGAGATGGTGGACTTGAAGCCTGGAGATTTTGTCGAAGTGTATATTACCGAGACAACTCATGCCTCACTTCGAGGAGAACCTTTGTTGAGGACTAGCATTACACAATTTCATGAAAAATATAGTTAGAGTATAGTATCAACTTGCAGCAAGTTTCTTCAAGGATCTGACTGTATGGTTGGTGTTTTGCTGGAGAGGTTTGCAATATCTCATTCTTTATCGAGGCAAGATGGGTTGTCGATTCTATTGTTTACAATAATTTTGTCCTCTTATTTATGGGTGTCAAAACATTCTGGTGAGAATGCAGGGAGTGACTGGTCAGTGATCCCGAGAATTAGTCCTCTTAACTACAGAGAGCTTGACACTTTGCTTCCTCTGTCTAGTTCTTGTACTTTTTCAGTTTTTAAAGTATGTATAGATAAGAAAGGAAAGACATGGATGTCATTGATTTTTTACATACAAACTCCCTGAAAGGAAAAGAGACCAGGGTGAGTAGCAACATCTGTACTGAGAAACGTTCTTATGGTACCCCTTCAATTCATAATTAATCTTGTTTTGATGAAATTGGGATTTTTGGAAATGAGTGTTAGATTTACTAAGTTTTAGTGTTTCTTAAGACATGATTTTTTGTTTATTGGGTAGAGATGCGTTGTATATTCGAATATAAATTCTACATATATCAGCAAAATATTATGAAATTGTTATTTTGTTGGTGTTGTTGATTTATGTTTTATGTTTAAAGGATAGAATAATTCTATTGCCAGGTATCAACACAAAATCCCAATCTGATTGTAAATAGCATCTAATATCTATGAGCACTATATAAATATAATCCATATATATATTAAAATAAATTAGATTCAATATTTATGATCAAAGTTTTCTAAACAACAAAACTTTGATCATAAATAAACAATTTCAGTACATACTTTTTACACATAACATTTCTTTTGTTTGCTTTTGAGGTATATAAGCAATATATAGGCATGTATTTTAAATTGCAAACAATTGATTACATGTAAAGTTTAATAAATTTGTGCATTTTGATAAATCAACCAATAATAGATTTTTAAAATAATAATTATTTTAAGTAATTTTTATTATTAATATAATTGTTAATATATAAAATATAGATTTTTAAATGATGTAGGCTTTGATTAAAAAATATTAAAAGTACAAGTTTATACTTCAATCATAAATAAATATTTTTTAAAAAAAAGTTATAAAAAGGTAATAGAAAGAAGAAATTAAATTAGAATATGCTACAATTGTCACATAATTATTATTAATATATACATAGACTAAAATGTCACAAAAAAAAAAGACTAAATAAAAGAATTCATAGGATTTAGGATAATTTAAGTCTTTTTTTTTTGTATGTATTACTAGCAAGATTGAATTTTTTTTGTCCAAGTTGAAAGGAACAATTTTCTATCAAAAGAAAGGTGCGACAAGGCTATTCCTTGGCATCATAGCTATTCAACTTGGTTGGCAAAATACTCTTATCCAAATGTGTATTAGTTTCTCTTCAATTACACCAAGCTATTATCCAATAGTTTTTTAGATATCAATTGATAAATGTTAAACCAATGGCTTTTGCTAATTGGGTATTAGATCTAGCTTGGTAACTCATCCCTCATTTTAAATGGTATATGGGATTGAAAATATGAGACAAAATTGAAAGAGTTTGGACTATTAAGGACATGAATTTTAAAGAACCTAAATCTCAACATACTCTTGTGTAACTCTAAAAGAATAGATATTCACTCAAAACTAATATAGTATTGAAACTAGAATAGCTATTATTAAAGATAAGAAGATTAGAAAGTTTTGAAACAAGACTAAGGACTAAAAAGACATGGATAAGAGTGAAGAAGCCTTTATTCTTGCTTCCATATATACTATCTAACTAAAAGCTATGTGGCAATGTTTTACATGACCTCCAATACATGTCCAACTTGCAAGACACATGTCTAACTCATAAAATAAGTTTCTTATATATTTCCCACATAATTAGCTTGTTTCGTAAGCTATTAGCACATACAACATGTGGCTAACTTGTTGGCCAAGTTTCTAATCTATTAATCAATTACAAACACATTTAAAGTCAAATATGTGTCTATGAAGCTTCTAAAAAGCTTTGCCACAAGATAATATCAAATCTACTTATATTTATCTTTTATTTAACACTTCTTATTTAGATAAATATGTATATTTGTGATATTATTCTTCCTTCTAGGAACAAGTCCCATAAGAAGTAGTCATCATATGTTGAGAAAGTCTAAGATGCAACAAATTGTGTTTGCTAGATACTGTGATTTTTTTTCCGTTTAAAGGTGGTTGATAGGTACTCTCACTTGTCAATAGTGATCTATATCAAGGCAAGAAGACCAACTTGTTATTTGATCATTGTTGAAGTATTTATAACTTACTTCAAATAAATTATTTGGAATAACATCGGGGTAGTTTTTACCTCTAATAGTATCACCAAGCATTGAGAGTCTCCTCTAAAGTCTTGACACTAAATATATTATATTTCACTATCTATTTGAAGAAACATTTGTCATTCTTAAGGATCTTCATTTCTTTTGCATCGTCTTGAAGGTTATAATATCACAATGTCTTATCCAATAATTGAGAAAATAATAATTCTTGATTTGAATCTATTAGTTGTTGGTTCTCCATCTCTTTAGCGCCATAAATATACAAAAACTACAAACAAGGATAGAAGTTCAAATGTAAATTTTCTTAAAATGCAGTTCTTTTAATCCTTTACCTTAGTTTTGATGGATGGTGTTGATAAAAAGTATCAACCTTCTTTATTGTATTTGCAAGATTTTTGGTTGATTCTCAGATATGTTCACTAATACCATATTCATACTAATGAACAAGATATTTTAATCTATTTTGGCACTACCTTGAGTCTAAGATTTCTTAGACTTCATACTCTTGGTTATTATCAATTTTTATAGGAAGAAGTGGTTTTATTGTCTTCTTGGTATATCTATTATCTTATATGGTGCAAAAAGAGACATATGGAATATGGGATAGGTCTTCATAGACTCCAGTAGGTGTAATTAGTAAGTAATTAGATTAATTTGCTCATATATAGGAAATGATCAAAGTTTATAGTAATCCAATTTATTGCAAGGACAAATAGTCTTAATATTATAATGAAGTAATTATATCTTGTTGCCAACATAATATTGAGGTTATTTTTTGCAATAAGCATCCACATTAATCTTTTTTCATTCTTGAGCTTCTTTTAGTTGTGCCTTTATTGTTGCATATAGCTTTGAAAAATAATTTTCCAAATCTTCTATCATAGAATTATCAACTTTTGAAAAGTCAAAGGTATTAAGTTGTAGATAATAGCCATAATTGAGAAAAAAAAAAAAATTCTAAGTAGAAAAATGCATTGTATTATTATAAGCAAACTTTGCCAATGGCAAAAAAATTATCCAATTGTCTTATTGATAGTTAATGGTACACTTCAAATACTATTCTAATACTTAATTCACTTGCTTTGTTTGTCCATCAGTTTGAGGATGGAATACTAAAGATAATTTTATATCCAACTTCAAAATCTTAAAAAGAATTCTCCAAAATCTTGATACGAATTGCATCTTTCTATCCAATATAATATTCCTTAGTAATCTATGATAGCAATAAATGTTATAAAGAAAAAATCTAGTTATTTCTTTATTTGTAATAGATTTTATATATAATACAAAATGTGACATCTTAATGAATCAATCTACTATTACAAATATAGAGTCAAAAGAACTTGAGACTAAAAGTTCCATGATAAAGTTTGTCAAAACAAAAGACTATGATTTTTCTAAAATAGGTAATGGCTGAAAAGTCTGTAAGATCAATGATAAGGAATTTTAATCTTGAACAAATATTACATGATTATAAAAATTCTTTAATTGCCTTTAATATTTGAAGCCAACAAATACCTTTAGATATTAATTCTAAATTTTTGTTGTATCTAAAATGTTCGGTTATTAAAAATTTGTAATGAATTTAAAAAATATATGATTGTACTTCACCATTTCAAAGGTATAATTGTCATTTAAAATGGAATAGGTTATCTTTGAATTCAAAATTAGAAATATCATAAGACTTAAAAGAATTATTTTTAATATCATGAATAAGAAGTTTAGAGAAAATATTTGATTAAATTTTCTTGAAAAAGATTGAATCAACAATTAATGTTGATTTCATTGTTCTAAGATGAAAATACTTTAGTTTTAAGATTTTTTATTTTTTTTTTATTTTTTTTTATTTTTTATTATTATTATTATTATTAAAAGATATATTTTCTTCTTTTGGCACAAGATAAGTATGTCTAAAAAGGGTATTTGATAAACCTTGTTGTTTTCTAGGTTAAAAAATGATTGTGAAATCAAATCTTAATAAAGACATACTCTAATAAGCTTGGAAATGATTTAAAATACATATTAATATAAAATATTTGAGGTTCTTATGAACTATATATATGGTGATTGAATTGGAAACACCTTCTAGATAATAACATCATTCTTGAAATGAATCTATAATTGTAAGAAGTTCTTTGTTGTGAATTTCATAGTTAATTTTAGCTACTAATAATTTTTTGAAATAGAAAGCTATCAAGTGGAGCTTGTCATTTGCTCCTATTTACAATAAAACTATATCTATAGCAAAATCTCATGTATCTATTTTCATAAAGAATGCATTAAAAAAAATGACATAATATAAGATTGGTACAAGAATAAATGATGTCTTTAAAGCTTCAAAAGATGCTCTAGCTTTTTTGCTCCATTCAAATTTGTCTTTATATGTTAGACCTATTAGAAGAGCCACAATTTGAAAAAAGTTCTTAATGAAGATCTAATAATAATTGACAAATTTCAAAAAATATTGTACATCTCTATTTGTTTTTTAGATCTTTTAATTCATGATACTCTAGATCCTTTTAGGATCCATTATAAGGCCATTATTTAAAATGATGTATCATAAGAAGTCAACTTTAGTAGTATAAAATACATACTTTTTCAACTTGGCATATAATCTTGCATCTCTAAGTTTATAAAATACATAACAAATATAAAGTTCTTATTCTTTTGTGTTTTTAGAATAGATTAAGGTATTGTCTAAGTAACAAATAACAAAGTCATAAAAAACTCTTAAAAAACATCATTTATTAGATGTTGAAACATAATTGGTGCATTTATGAATCCAAAAGGCATGATATTATATTCAAAATTCTTATACTTGGTTTAAATCATAATTTTCTATTCATTTTTTTTAAATACATATCAGATTATATGTTCATAGTAGATCTATTTTGATATAGATCTTTGCTTGATTGAATTGATCAAAAAGTCTTGAAATCAAAAGTAAAGGATACTTATTCTTAATAGTGATCTTGTTGAATCTTTAATAGTCTACTTACATCTACAAAGATCAATTTTTTTTTCTTCATAAATAAAATAAGAGCCCCTGTTCAAGATTAAGAATGGTGTATAAAG